TACTAAAGCACAGATTTTCTCTTACATAAGGGACTTGAAGCTCTGCACCCATCTTCCCAGACACACCCAGGGAGTGTGGCACTGAGCGTGGGGCTCAGCTGCTCTCAGAACCTGCTCCTTGCTGAGCCCCCCATCCGCTGCAGCCCTGCCCTCCAGGAGGGGCTCCTGGCAGCTGCCCCTCAATCTCCCAGTGCAGGCACTGCCCCTGGAGCTCTGCAGACTGTGCTGGGCCCTGTGCTGGTCCACAGCCCTCGCTCCTCCACCGTGAGCAGGGAAGGTCAGCCCTCATCCCAAGGCTATGAGGAACGCACTGCTGCAGATGGCTCCTGCCTACCTGCCGTGACCACTGAGCCACAGGAGAAGCTATAAATGGATGTCACAGAAAACTACAGAACAAATTACAAGCAGAAAAATAGAAAGACAAAAGATGGATGAGATGGGCACAGCACTACGGCACAGAGTGGATTTGAACTTGAAGTGAACCTGAGCCGAATGACCAAGCTGCCATGGTATGTTCATTTGTCGATGTCGGCATCATCAATCTGGCCTTTGTGAAGCCTGGCAGTGAGGTCTGGCTTTTCTTTACTGCAGGATAAATAACAACTAAAAATGGTGGTGCAAGCTCCAAGTAAACTAGCACTTCCAGGGGGTCACCCAAGGGCTCCAGAGCTGGTGCACAGCTTTAACTCTTTTGCCCAGAAACAATGTACACTGGCAACCAAATTGGCCTCTGTTCTCCAACCACATGGCCACTCTACAGACACAGCTCCAGAAAATTATTTACCTGATCAGAAGAAGCTGAAGCAAAGATCTGGACTCGGTTTGTCCCAAATGTATTTTGTGCTCTTTATCCCAGCAGTACAGTGTGGTGCCTTAAAACCAGAAATGAATCTTTGGACAAGAATTATTTTACTTATGTACAAATAAAAATATTAGCTGACAGTACAAAAACTGCTGTTAGTTACCACTCTGTGCAACTAGCAAATGCCAGATCAATCCAGGGGAGTGCAAAGTAGGTCAGGGCACATGTATGACCCAGGCTGAGAGCAACAGCACTGTTACTGTTACCATGGCAATTGCATTTCAGTGGGGTCAGGGAATCAGTATTTTACAATACAAAAAATTGTACGCTTTAATTCTTACTCCAAAATTGCCATTTTGGTGCCATGATGTATCTTTGTTCTACAGCAGAGACTTGAAAGGGCAGCACAGAGTCAGATGGGCACTTGTAAATAACTTACTACAGCAACGGACTTCTCCGAGACATGCGCTTGGCTTGGGAGCAAGCCCGGTCAGCGATCACAGGGAGGCAGAGGTCAGGGTTTAACACATCCCACTCTCATCCTGTGCCACGTCAGCGTTCAGTGCTTCCCCATGAATGCCCAGGAAACAGGCACATCTCTTTAGTTTCAGCAGCTAGCGGGAACATGTCAGAGAACTGTCTCAATGACGGGCAGGTGATGGCATCCCAGTTGTCCGCAGGTCCACAGGGTCAGTGGGCCACTGCCAGGCTGTCGCTGCCAGCATCCATCCATCCAGAAACACAGGATGCTTGTTGCCCTAGGTCCATACGGACAGATGGACACCCTGTGCAAAGCAAAGGTGCTTCATCTCAGGACCCGCAGTGCACCTTGGGCACCCTGCCTGCCCTGCCAGTGCCCAGGGAGAGCCAGGGGCATTGGCTCCCCCAGCCTAGAGCAAATCCAGTGACCACAGTGGATGTGAGACTGATCCCAGCCACAGTGGAACTTCTGTGCCCAGACCGTGGCAGAGGGCTTGGCATTCACTGCAGGTGAGTTCTGCACTGGACTGAGTGCTGCAGGAGCCTCCTGCTGCAAGGTGTGGAGAGCCAAGCAGCTCCACGGCAGCTCGTGTGGCAGCACCCAGCCGTGCCTTTCACTGCTCCTTTCAGGGATAAGAGCTCTCCATGCTCCGCAAGCTGCTGGCTGTGTTTGCAGAGGTTTGCTACAGCTCTGGATGCTGTGACTGTCCTGCAGCAGGGTTACAAAGTGGGGATGAGCAAGGGGCTGCGTCAGGCTCCCAGTCCTCAGTCTGTACTCAGCTGGAGAGGGGTGTGCAGTAGGGTAGGGCAGCTGCCCGAGGGCCGGGGTGCCCGCGGAGGAGCGGTGTGTGCAGGGGCGGTGCAGCGGGTGGTGGCGGTGGGACACGGGAGGAGGCCGGGGCGGTTCCATCGCTGTCCCGTGTCCTGCTCAGTAGTATGCAGCACACACGCTCCGGCCGCGGCCCCTCAGGACGGCGGCACCGGCGGGCAGCGCGTGGGGCTGGGCGGCAGGCGCGCCGCCGCGCTCTGCTCCGTGCGGAAGCTGTAGTCGTACTGTGGGCAAAGCAGAGAGAGGAACCTGGAGCACCGACACACACACAACACCGCCCACGCCTGCGCTGGGACAACACACGAAATGGAAGAATGCGAGAAAAACCGGGGCTGACAACAGCTGGCCCAGGCAGGGCCATGCCAGGTGAACCTGCTGGTACCACCTGACCCCACATCAGTGACCTCCCCAGGTAGGGATCACCACCCCTCAAAACCCAGCATTAACACAAACATGACCACAATCATCCTGTCCACAAATCAGCTAGTCAGAAACATTCCCCTGGCAAGTTTACTCAAACCACTACCATCAGAAATAACATTTTTGGTTGGCAAGAGGGTGAAAATCCCTATATAGCCATCCCTGTGCCCCCACGATGTCCCTGCACCACGGGACAGCCCTGCAGCTGAGGGACATGCACTGTAGCAGTGCCATCTCGTGGCACGCTGCGAGCGCACCCGCCGGCCCGCGGCCACCGGAGCCTTTCCCGTGGCAGGTGGGCGGCGAAGGCAACACCATACGGGGTGGGGGCTACCGAGGCAGGAGCTGCCCACGAGCGCGGCACACCCACTGCAGCGCCCTGTACACGGGCTCTCCTCCCGTGCATCTCCCAGTGTCGCGTTTGTGGCACTTGGAATGTCACAAACACATCCCCGTGCGCGCTCCTCACAGCCGCGCTGGGACACGGGACGTGCTGCCAGCGAGGCGGTCCGGGCAACCATCAGCCATGCCGGTACCTGGCCCAGGGCCGTGCCAGCTGTACCAGGGCTGCGCCGCTTCCACCCAGCGCCGAGCTGCTTTTGGTGCGGGCTCGGGAGGACCCCGGCGCGACGCTGCGCTCCGGGAGCGCCGCTGCTGCCGCGGAGCCCCGGGAGCGCCGCTGCCGCGGAGCCCAGGGAGTGCCGCTGCTGCCGCGGAGCCCCGGGAGCGCCGCTGCTGCCGCGGAGCCCCGGGAGTGCCGCTGCTGCCGCGGAGCCCCGGTGCCGCCGCGGAGCCCCGGGAGTGCCGCTGCTGCCGCGGAGCCCCGGGAGCGCCGGTGCCGCCGCGGAGCCCCGGGAGTGCCGGTGCCGCGGAGCCCAGGGAGTGCCGCTGCTGCCGCGGAGCCCCGGGAGTGCCGCTGCTGCCGCGGAGCCCCGGGAGCGCCGCCGCTGCCGCGGAGCTCCGGGAGTGCCGGTGCCGCGGAGCCCAGGGAGTGCCGGTGCCGCGGAGCCCCGGGAGCGCCGGTGCCGCGGAGCCCCGGGAGCGCCGGTGCCGCCGCGGAGCCCCGGGAGTGCCGCTGCTGCCGCGGAGCCCAGGGAGCGCCGCTGCCGCGGAGCCCAGGGAGTGCCGGTGCCGCGGAGCCCCGGGAGCGCCGCTGCTGCCGCGGAGCCCCGGGAGTGCCGCTGCTGCCGCGGAGCCCCGGGAGCGCCGCCGCTGCCGCGGAGCTCCGGGAGTGCCGGTGCCGCGGAGCCCAGGGAGTGCCGGTGCCGCGGAGCCCCGGGAGCGCCGGTGCCGCGGAGCCCCGGGAGCGCCGGTGCCGCCGCGGAGCCCCGGGAGTGCCGCTGCTGCCGCGGAGCCCCGGGAGCGCCGGTGCCGCCGCGGAGCCCCGGGAGTGCCGGTGCCGCGGAGCCCAGGGAGTGCCGCTGCTGCCGCGGAGCCCCGGGAGTGCCGCTGCCGCGGAGCGCACAGGCCCGGCCAGGCGGCGAGCGGCCGGCAGGGGGCGCCGCGGCTTCGTGGCGGGCCGGGCCGGGCGGGACGGGCAGCCCGGGCTGTACCGGGGCTGCACCGGGGCTGCACCGGGAGCTGCACCGCGGCTGCACCGGGAGCTGTACCGGGCTGGACCGGGGCTGTACTATGCTGCCGCGGAGCGCACAGGCCCGGCCAGGCGGCGAGCGGCCGGCAGGGGGCGCCGCGGCTTCGTGGCGGGCCGGGCCGGGCGGGACGGGCAGCCCGGGCTGTACCGGGGCTGCACCGGGGCTGCACCGGGAGCTGCACCGCGGCTGCACCGGGAGCTGTACCGGGCTGGACCGGGGCTGTACTAGAAGCTGTACCCAGGCTGATACCAGGGCTGTACTGGGGCTGGACCTGGGCTGTACCCAGACTGTACTGGGGCTGTACCCAGGCTGTATCTGGGCGGTACTGGTGCGGTACCCGGGCTGTACCAGAGCTGTACCCGGGCTGAACCTGGGCTGTACCGGGGCTGTACCCAGGCTGTACCGGGGCTGTACCCGGGCTGTACTGGGGCTGTATCTGGGCTGTACTGGTGCTGTACCCGGGCTGTACTGGTGCTGTACCCAGGCTGTACCAGGGCTGTACCCGGGCTGTACTGGGGCTGTATCTGGGCTGTATCTGGGCTGTACTGGGTGCTGTACCCAGGCTGTATCTGGGCTGTACCCGGGCTGTACTGGGGCTGTATCTGGGCTGTACTGGTGCTGTACCCGGGCTGTACTGGTGCTGTACCCAGGCTGTACCAGGGCTGTACCCGGGCTGTACTGGGGCTGTATCTGGGCTGTATCTGGGCTGTACTGGGTGCTGTACCCAGGCTGTATCTGGGCTGTACCCGGGCTGTACTGGGGCTGTACCCAGGCTGTACCGGGCCTTTACTCCCCAGGGCCACACCTCCCTGTCGCGATGCTGCAGCCGCTGGCACGCAATAGGCCTCATTTTTCAACACCCAAACGCATAAAGATGTCAGCTCAAACTGTTTACTAATTAACACTTAAAAAGACACAAATTAGATATGCGTGGCTAAGAGCAATTATAATCAAGACGAATCTCTCCAGTCATTGGGGAACTGAGGAAACTCCTAATTGCTGGAACCAATGTTTTAAAATCTGAAATCATGCCAGTTAGCAAATATGTTCATTTAAAGAACATTTCATGTGACTGCACTCAGGAGAATTGACTACAAACATGCAAACAAGGAAAAATATTTCTGTGTAAAATTAAAATTTTAAGCTCTTCTAGATTTACAACTTCTTCATTAAATATATTTGCAAAAAGCAGCCCATGAAAACTTGTAGCAATTCAGTGGTTAAATGAACTGCCTTCCTTATCAGTTTAAAAGGAATGATGAATATTGGATGCTCCCTTTACTAATTAGACTCTCTAGACGTTTTACACAATGCCAAGCTCAAATGAAGACAGGGTGCACCCTGCCAGGGCCCAGACCGCTGCCCTCGCTGCCACACATCCACCAGAGCTGTGAGCAGTGACAGTGCCACCACCTGCCCTATCACCTGCCCCTGCCCAGGTGCCCGCTCCACCCTACCCGGGACAGGCAGGGGTAGCACGGACAAACCCCAGAGCCCTGCTGGGAGACCTGCCAGCAGCACTGTCTGTCCTGCACTCTCCTCTCTGTCCTACACCCACCAAATCAGCCACGAAGTGATGGCATGTGCTGCTTACACCTGCGCTTCACCACCCCTGCATAGCCCAGCTCTCTGTGCACGGCCCCGGGCACAGCTGTGCCATCCTGCGGCAGCGAGAGCAGCTCAGGTGCAGTCCAGGATTTGCACCTATTTCCATCATTTTCCTGACAGGGCAGAGTCCTCAAATTCAGCTGCCTGCAGCTTGGAGGATGGGTGCATACATCTGCAAATGTGGTGACAGAGAACAGTAATTCTTGGAATTCTTTGGGAATATTTTTTGCAAGGCATCTTGCTCCAGGGAGAATGTTCTGGCTGCTTTGGATATCCAGAAGATTTGCTGTAATGGTGCTATTGCTTGCAAGGGAAATAAAGCCATGCCGAAATTCACAATATTTATATGTGTAGCTCTCTATGTGCAGACAAGATGCTTCATCAAGGAATATGGGCTGCATAATCATACTTTTCATTACGCTGGAACGCACACAGCCTGCTACAGAGCAGGAGCTGTGGGAGAGCAGGCAGGTCTTGGCCTCTCCTCCCTGGCCCACACAAGTGACTGCAGTGCTGCTGTCCCCACGCTCCGCCAGCCTGCGAGGGCACAAGCAGGGCTGTGCAGCCCAGCCCCCTCCAGGCAGCCCCCCAGCTGCCAGACCTCTCCCACAGCCAGGCAACACACAGAGACCATGCAGCAGCAAATTCAGCACCACATGGACTCCCCTTGGGCCAAAGGGGCCGTCTGCTCCCTGGCCAGCTCAGGGCAAGGGTGGGAACGCAGCCAGGCACGTGGAAGGGCCCTGAGCCCTGAGCATCCCCTGCTGCCAGGGTCCCTCCTGACAGCCACGGGCAGTCCCAGAGCGGTGGCATGTGTGCCACGTGGCACGCTGCAGTGCCTGTGGCACTGGTGCATCTGTCAGCCACTGCCCCTGTCAGGCAGCATCTTCAGATCCACACTGCAGCCCCTGCAGTCCCACAGGGAGCCTGCAAAAGCCCTGGCAACTGGGCCTGACCATCGTCTTGCACTCAGACAAGACTTTCAGGCACAAGAGGGTGGATCTGGGCAACTACACTCAACTGGAATAAAGAAGTGGAGAAGCTTTGGGGAATCTGGCAGCTTTGTGATGTCATCTTCTCACTCTGTCCCTTGAACCCAGCTAGAAGGCATAGGAGGAGGCCTTTGTGACCAGTGGTGCCTGAAGAAGCATGTGCTGCTGAGACAAGTTTCTTCCTAGTCTGAGACTTCAGATGTGAAGTGTGATGTGACCTTTGCAGAGCAGAGAGCTCCTCGGCACCGTGCCACACACGTCATGCATGAGCCAGAACACCCCCTCAGAACCCCCCTGGTGTGGTGGCTGCCTCCTCCCTGGCTCCTCAAACACTCACTCCCACTCAGTGCAGCGCAGCTCTCCCAGCAACAACTTCCCAGCATCAGCAAACTAAAGACTCGTGAAGCTGTTTACCTGACCCTGCTGAGTCAAGTCCATCTGCCCCCTGACACACAAGAGGCACCTCAGGGTGTTCTGCCACTGCCATGTATTGTTAATACACGAGAAAGAAAGGCTAGCCAAGACAGACACCTGGAAATAAACAGAAGGCCCCACACTTTGCCATTAAATTCACCACCTGAAGTGTCTTCACTCATCACAGATCATAGAGGGCATCCCTGGCCCTGGGCTTACTGCTTGACTTTATCCATCCTCTGTGACTTGGGAGAGACAAGAAAAGTATTTTCCATAAGGGAAGGGTTCTTAAAAGAAGTGAACACAGCCCCCGTGATTTGCTCAGTGCCTGGCTGGCTACTTACCTCCTTTTCGATTTCTGCAAGGGTTTTGATTGTGATACCCAAGAGATCAACCGGCTGCATCTGGCAAGAAAGAAACAAAAATGTCAAATTCAGGGTCAGGGAGGGGGTGTGTGTTTGTTTGTTGTTGTGTTCTGTTTCAAGTCAGCAAACACTCCATCACTGGAGATTTAGAGGCACCATCTGTAAACACAGGCAGGATCCTGCTCCTCGTTCCAGCAGGCGGTGGGCTGGGGCTCCCAGCTCCAGGGCTGCTCTCCCTCAGCACGACAGCTGACACTCACCTGGGAGCTGCTCTGTGCAGGAGAGCTGCCTCCTCCCCGCTGCACAGCACCCCAGCTCTGCGGCTGCAGCACGAGGTGCGAGCAGCAGCAGCTGCAGGGAGCCCTGACCAAACTGACCATATGGTGGCAATGGTGTCTAAAGGATCCGCCGGGAGGATTAGCACGGCCTAATCTCGCTGCATTTGTCCTCACAGCGGGGACTTCAGATTTCTGGGAATAATGGCCCATAAACAACCCTCTCAGAAAGCAAGGGATGTGAAAAACCGCTGTCAGCAGGAAGAAGAAAGCAGAAAGCTGGAGCACTACTGAAAAATCAGACACAGCTGATGGCCCAGTGTTTGCCTTAACAGCTTCCTGTAAATTGATTTTTAAAAAGATGCCGCTTTAGGATCGGATGGATTCGGGAACTGCTAGTGGGATGCTGAATCTTTGAGCTCTGGATCATCAACCTTAACAAGCACTGGTCCAGTGGCACCCAGAGGTCATTCTGAACCAGCAGCAGTGTTTCTGTCTGGTGAAGCAGACGTGCCCTGCCTGTGCTGGTGGCAGTGCCCGCTGAGAGCAGGCACCACCCGGTGCCCTCTGCAGCTCGCCCGCAGCCAGGCAGGACCCCGGTGGCAGCTGATGGCACTGGAGTGCACTGTGCCATTACCACTGCCCTGAACTTCTGGAGTGACAACAGGAAGCAGTAAAGCTGTTGGCACTGTGCCATCCTCACAGCAGGTAAATGCAGGAGAGCTCCACCTCTGCAGCTTTCCTTACAATCTATGCTAAGAAATTAGAAATGCTTTCAGCACCTGGGAGTCCCATTGCCATTCCTATTTTTGATGGTAATAAACCCTGAAATCCCAGGACAATTCAGTTTTAGAAGCAATCTGGCAAAAGCCTTTCCCATCTAACGGGCAGCTATTGTGACATGCAACCTCAGCCCATCTCAAGCACTGGATATGTAGTACTTGGCCCCACAACAGAATAGCTCCCAGAAGCAGGTAATTTGTCTTGATGTTCTGTGATCGCTGCCCATGAAACGATGGATTTCAGACACTGGAGAACAACAAACTCACCCCTTCAGGAGCGCAGGCAAACTTCTCCGAAATCATAAAAGGCACTCCATCCATTGCTGAAAGGGACAAGACATCACATGTGACGTTTCCAGCTGCCTTCTGACATGCAACTTCACACATTCCCAGTGACAGATCAAGTATTCACAGCACTGACACATGACTGATTGCTCCCAAACGTTACTGCCAGCCTTTTTCTCCCTCTAAACTGCCAGTGGTTTCTTTCCATTTAAGACATAGCTGGGTCAGTCCCTACCAAGCCAGGAATCCAACAAATTCTCCTTGCTCTATCCACATATTATTTCATGGCCTCAATTTTGCATTTTCCAATTTGCTGCAGCTGGCAAAGCAGGACAGTATTTGGAACTGGAAGGACACACTTCTATTTACCACCTCCTCACCAAACCTGGCCTGGCGGTTGCGAGTGTAAACTCCACAGTGAGGAGTGGCTCAAACACTTGCAAACCACATCTGGAGGATGTAAACCAGTGGAATATGGAGACAGACATGAGGACATGACACCACATGGCACAGCCTCATGTCACATGGCCCAGCTTTTTCTGTAGCATAACCTTAATGGTACTCAAAGCACTGTTTGCCTCAAAGCACTGCACCCACAAACCCAGTGCTCCTCTGTCTGCTGTTTCTAACTTCTACAGCACCACTGAGTTACCATGTTAGTGATTAACAAGGGTCATTTAAAAATACTCAGCCTTTTACACTTGCTTTGTCTATTTTCAATATAAAACCCCCCTCCACGGGAGTAATTTTGTTATCAAAGGTGCTGCGTGGCAGCCACAGCCCAAAGGAAAACAAAAGGAAACAGATGAAAAGCAGCATCACCAAATCCAGGAAGTTTTAAACCTGAAAGACCATCTGCACTTGTTATCCGACAGAAACCCTCTTTGATCAGCCACACGCCAGCCTTTGTAAAGTAATCTAAAGGCTGAGCTAGGGAGTGTGTGCGTGCCCAGAGCCCCCGAGCCGCCGGCCGCGCGCTCCAGCCCACCCGGGGCTCAGCGCAGCACAGCAAAGCAGCAGATAAAAGCAGGGTGAGCCAAGGGCTCCACGGCGCAATTAGCACTCTCCTAAACAAACGAGCTTCAACAGAGCTGTAATTAAGCAGGCCTGTAATTAAGTATATGCCCTTTATCATAACGATCATGCTTAAAAATGGCACGATGCATGGAAGTGTGTTATTAACGCTGCACTCCCCGAGCGCGGGAGCGTGCGCCGAGCTGCCGTGTCAGGCCCATCACCAGCCTGCTGCTAAAATGCATTAAAGGCAGAGAGCAGAACACAAGGTGCTCATTCAGCGTCTCCTTTCTCAGCCAGGCACCGGTGTCACGGGGGTTTAAATACCGCCAGTTCTGGAAACTTTACAGAAACGAAGCCCTGGGCGGCCACGGCCACTGCCTGCCCCAGCACCAGGCGGGCAGTGACCCCCAGCCCTTCACCCCGTGGCACAGCCGGGCTCCAGGAGCCCTTTGGGGCTGCAGGCAGGAGGGGGGACCCCCAGGACAAGGTGCACGGGGAGCAGCACTCCCCCCTTGCATCTGCTCCCCGGCTGAGCAATGCCCTGAACAAAGCAGATGCTCTGGGGCAGACCCTTCTGTGCCCCCCACCTCACCTGTGGGGTCCCCTGCTCAAAGGATGAGACACCCACTGCTGCTGCTGCCCACGATGGGCTTTTTCATGTTCATGAGGACTTCAAGGGTGTGCTCTTCTCCCTCAAAATGGAACAAAATAAAGCTGGATTTCAGAAGAAAAACTGTTTCCAATGGCTGTTTGCTGCCTCCCAGGATCAGCTCATTCCTGAGGGTCACAGCTAATTAACTCAGGCACTAATTAGTTAAAGGAGTTGAAAGGAGCCAGCAGCCAAAACCAACCTCGCAAAGCCCTGCCCCAGAGGACAGTGTTCCATGCACCCCTGACAGCAGGAAGGGGATGGGTGCCTCGCTGAGGTGTAGTGGACTGCTCCCCGGCTGAGCAATGCCCTGAACAAAGCAGATGCTCTGGGGCAGACCCTTCTGTGCCCCCCACAGGGTGATGTCCCTTCATCGGTGCAGGACCACCAGAACACACAGCCAGCTTCCACCTGGTGGCTGCTTCTTCACTGTAATTTACCAAGACTTGCTCTCAGGCTCTAGTGGGGAGGACACCAAAGCATGCTCTGGAATTCAACTTGCTAGCTCGCTTAGAAATCCTCTCTTTAATCTGTGAAAGTATTGTCACCCTTCTCTAAGCACTCGAGAGATGCTGCCTTCTGTGCTGCAGACTCCAACTAAATCTCAGTTGTCAAATTAGTAATTCATCTTTCTTGAATAACTATATTTTTAGCCAAGCTACCAGATTTAAATAATCAGACCTGCCAATGCTACCCTAATTTAAACATGCTGACGAACTTTCACAGGCAGCATCAGCTAACATAATGAGTTTCTGGATGACAAAGAACTTCAGACGGTAGTTCTCTACACTACCCAGCGTAATAAGCACTTGTTCTTTTCTACAAAGCGCACATAAAAGAGAAATCTAAATAATAGTTGCTGTAATTATCTTGAAAAATATGTGGTGATTAATGGTGATTATGAAAATCTGTATAATTGTTCGCTAACGCTCCAAAGATCAGATGCTCTCTTGAAGCAACCATCAGTGAAGAACTTGGAAACACAGGAGCTTCCAAGCTGCTGTCCGTGTGGGAGTGGGATCACCCGTGTGCCAGTTCAGCCTTCACCCTCCCGTGACCTCTGCCAGAGGTTCCAGGATGTCCACGCTGTGACGCGTGTGTCATTGTGGCTGAAAGCACGAAGTTCAACCTGTTATTTATGCAAATAATTAATTACTCTTGTATCCAACTCACAGTTTGTCATGACACATTAATGACTTGATAGACTTCTATGAACTAGTGAGCACAGGACAGCAGAGCGCTTTTATCGTCATTTAATTTAAAAACGATCCTGTGTGAAATTATCTAGTTGTGAGTGATGGAAGCATAAAGAACAGACTCAGCAAAGCTTCTTTTGGATCATTGCTTTATTAATGGTAACGTCAGGGAAATGAAAAATGCTAACATTGTCATATTTAACTCCTGGGTACAGATGAATCGCTGCCTCAGAGCCTGGCAGTGAGTGCTAATTCCTCACACCACGATTGGGGGGATACACAGCCACGGAAGAGTTTATACACCTCAACTCCCAAGGAAATAACAGCTGTTTCTGCATTAAATTCTCACCATAAGCTTTTATAGCTTTGGATTTCTTTATTGCTGTTTTTGCATAGCCTTTAACACTAGAATTTTCAATTTCTGATATTAAAAATATTTAAATAAATAAATAAATCCCTTGTGAAATGTTTTCCTGCATGACTGAAAATGAAGAACTGTTAATCCAAACCAACAAAAAACCCAACATTGAGTGCACTACTACCACCTTTAAAATTTAAATGACCTTAGATTTTAGAAAGGGCTTTCTCTAATGCTGCAGAACTGTTCCTATTTTCCCCAGACCTGAATGCTAACAGTGTGTTTATCCTTTACCAAGAAGAGTATCTCATAAACCAGCCTACAGCAACACCATAAAACCAGCAGAGCTTCCCTGCTTAGAGAAAACTTGATTTCCAGCTAAATGGCACCAGAGGAATCTGAAAGCAGATTGAGAATGGGGGGCTGGCACAGAGCTCTGGCACAGCAGCCCTGGAGGGGAGCCCCTGTCTGGTGCTGCCCACCACAAGAGCCACGGAGGCCAGCGGGCTCCCAGCCCAGGGGAGCTCTGAAGGCCATTCCACTGAAGCAGGGCAGCACAGCCACGAGCAGTCTGAGCCCAGCCTGGCCAGGACCAGGGGCTGCTCTCTGCAGCAGACAGGACATGCTGCTTCCTGGGGGCTGGGCAGCCACGGGGAGCTGGGGGCACAGCGTGGTGCCAGCCTGGCCAGGCTGGAGCCAGGCCACCCGCCCTTGGTGCCCTCTGCAGCTCCTGCCAGGCTCACAGCTCTGGCTCCCAGCCATGCCCTCTGCTCCCACACACGTCCTGGTGTGAGCTCTGCAGCCCTGAGCTCTGCAGCCCTGCAAGGAAGACAGTGCAGGACACCTGCAGAAACCAGGCACGCTGTGCCCTCGGTGCAGGGAGCCATGCAGAAGCATGAAGAAATGAAACAGTTTGCAACACATCCAGAGAAGGGTGTGAGTTTTTCAAACCAAACCAGCTCTCCGTGATGCTAAGCCTCCTATTCCTGTATTTCTATACACAGAGATTTAAACAGCAACCTGAACAGTAAATGTGTGCTCTTTGTGCTACAGTGCACCAAGGGCCCATATGGAATCACACCAAATCACTGATGGCAAAACCTCGGGGCCAAAACCCAGAAGCAGCCTTTCCTGACAGCTCCTGCCAAGCCAGCTGCAACAGGGAACTCCAGCTGTGCTCCCCAGCTGCAGACACCAACCCAAACACACACACAACTTCTTTGTGTCGTACAAAGAAGCACAGAGGTGCAGGCAGGGGCAAAGGCTCAGCCAGGGCTCAGCTCTGCTTGCCCGAGGCATGAGCCCAAGCCCATGAAAGCCCCAGAACACTTGATGTGGCTCTGGGGGCAGCTGCACTGCAGGTCCTGTGGCTGCTGGGCAGCAGGAGCTGTCCCCAGGGCTGTCGTGGGGCACAGCCAGCTGGGAATGCCCAGCCCAGTGCCAGGCAGCAGGGTGGCAGCAGCACCAAAACACCCAATGCCTGGCACAGTGAGTGGGACAGCAGGGGCCTCCTGGGCTGGGGAAGGAACCTCTGCCTTGGGAAAGGTTTACAGCTTTCCTGTTCCTCTTGAAATGACTGATTAAAAAACCAGACCTGGACTAAATTTTCATTTTTGCTAATTTGATTGTCAGCCTTGATTTTCTCCGTTTCCTGCATAGCTCATGACATGGCACAATTAGTTCTTTACTGCTAAGATCAAGCCACGAAAACACTTGAAAAAGTACCCCTGGATTTGATTATTTTCTTTTTTAAATAAAGTGAAGGTTAAGTACTGCATGGTGACGCCTGAGGAGCACCTCAGCACTGTGACTCCATCA